ATTTTTATTTTTTAAATGACAGCACATGTAAATCAGCGGCCACCTCTCGGATTGGGTTAAGACTCAGAAGAAGACTTGTTTGTGACTTTGCCCACAGGTCAGTCCGAGGCTTTACCCTATTTTGGCTCCCCAGAGGATGAAAAGTAAAATGATAGACACATATTTTTTATATAGGTCGGTACAGGATAGTTAACAGTCAACAATTAACTCAATAGCAATGAGGGGATTGGTGGTCTCTGCAGAGTGGTGCCTGTGCTATGAGGGGGTCCAGAAGAAGGAAAATTACTTTCACATTCCAATGATATATGTTACCTTAGATGAAAAAGACAATAGGCTCAGTTAAGGTACAGATTGACTTTCGTCAGGGAAGATGCCAGCCTAGGACATGATCACCCACCATAAACTGCTTTTAGCTTAAGAGTTTTAATATTATACCATTCTTTACAGTTATTTTAGGCCTCTGAGATTGCAAGGCTGCCATGCAGGCCTCCCCTGAGCTTGTCAGATTAGCATGTGGCCCCTTTTTGTCCACACTGATCAGGGCACATACTAGTAACTAGGTTGTGGAGAGTTCCGAAGGCAACCGTTGATGTACCACTATCTCTCTCACATCAATGTTTCTCTCCCTCCCTCCCTGAAAAAAAAAAAATTCTTTACAGATTTGGACATGTCAACATAAGAAACTCATACCTAGAGAATTTTTGTGAGTTTATTTGAACTAGCCGTGGGCAAACTACTGCCCGCAGGCCGGATCTGGCCCGTTTGAAATGAATAAAACTAAACAAAAAAGACCGTACCCTTTTATGTAATGATGTTTACTTTGAATTTATATTAGTTCACACAAACACTCCATCCATGCTTTTGTTCCGGCCCTCCGGTCCAGTTTAAGAACCCATTGTGGGAGTCAAAAAGTTTGCCCACCCCTGATTTGAACCGAACTGTTGACAGTTGCCAGGATATAAAATCTCAACAAATTGAGAAAATGCTCCAGAGAATGGCCATTTTGCACCTTATTTTTGTACATTACAATCAAAAGAGAAAACGTAAGTGGGTTACATGAAATCCATTCGTGATAGATTAGGCACGTGAGCTCAGCGTGTCAGCATTTTGAAAAACCCTAACTTAACTCTGGTGCCGTGTCACATAGAAATTTTTTGATCTTTGCAACCATAGTAAAACAAAGATTTATATTTTTGATATTTATTTTATATATTTAAATGCCATTTAACAAAGAAAAATCAACCAAAAAAATGAGTTCGAGTGTCAGAGGTGACATAGGGTTCGCCATCACTGGTAGGGAGACAGTTGAAAGCCAAGGGGGTGGGGGGGACCTCTGGGATTGGATAAAAAGTAAAATGATACATCTTTTATGTGGGTGGGTACAGAATGGCTAATAGTCAACAGTTAACACCATAAAAATAACAATGAGGGGATTTGTAGTCTCTGCTCTGGTGTGTTGATTGTGCCCTGAAGGGTCTGGAAAAGAGGAAGTAACCCTGACATTCCTACGGGATGTTATCATAGATGCAAAAGACAATAGGTAAAGATTGACTTTAGTCAGGGATGATTCGGGCCTAGGACATGACTACCTACTACAAACTGCTTTTAGTTAAAAAGTTTTCATTTCATACCATTCTTTGTGGTTACTTTAGGTCTCTGAGTTTGCAAGGCCTCACATAGGCCTCCCCTGAACTTGTCACAGCATGTAGCCCCTTTTCATCTGCAGATGTTTCTTACATTGACAGGATTAAAAAAATAGAGAATAGTTAATATATAAGGAAAAGACATCGTCAAGGATAAATTATCAAATTATAACAACATTTTAAAACTCTTTATCGAGGGGATTTCTGTCATACAGACTTAGGAGAAGAGAAGGAAAACAAGCCAAGTTGTCTATCAAGTACTTACCTATACTCATTTACCGGTAACAGATAAATGAGAGATGGGAGGTAGATAGATAAAATACAAGGTGGGGCAAAAGTAGGTTTACAGTTGTTGAGTACCTAAGAGTTTATCCTTGTATTTTCCATCCAAACAACTGTATATTTTTATTTTTATATTTTATATATAAATGTGTGTATATATATAATCAGCTTCAGGCTGTAAAGTAGAAATACAGAAACAAAATTTTAATTGTAATATGCAGTGGAAGATGGGCATTTGCTGTGCAATTTTAGCTTTGTCCAGGAGAGGGAGCTGCGAAACCACAAATAGTGTCATGGTTTCCTGAGTTTTTGCTGGTTATTTCTCAACTGAGGAAAGGAGGATAATAGGGAACTGGGGGGGAAATTGCTATTGAATTTGGATAGAGAAGTCTTCTGAGTGAGTGATTGTCTCCCACACTGCAGCAAGAATCAGGATGAAACCTTTCATTCTTTTTTTTTTTTTTTTTAATATATTTTATTGATTTTTTACAGAGAGGAAGGGAGAGGGATAGAGAGTTAGAAACATCGATGAGAGAGAAACATCGCTCAGCTGCCTCCTGCACACTCCCCACTGGGGATGTGCCCGCAACCAAGGTACATGCCCTTGACCGGAATCGAACCCGGGACCCTTGAGTCCGCAGGCAGACATCCACTGAGCCAAACCGGTTAGGGTGAAACCTTTCATTCTTAAATGAACCAGTTAGAATCCAGAATGTGTTCATTGTTTAATGAAAGATGGGTTTGTGTTTTTAAAGTTTGCACAATCAGAAACCTAAAAAGTAGATCATTTTTGGCAAAAGAGCAGTGTTCAGTTTCTCAGTACTTCAATAGCTTTTAAATTCTTAATGACAAAAGACAAATGTGAGTACTTATATTTTATTAAATATAATACATTCATTAGTTTCCTCCTGTAAATTTCACTTACCGTTTCTGAAGTTGGATAAGTCCTGCTTAAATACCCAGCAAGGCCTGTGGGGACCCAATTACATGCTCACATGCGCACATCCTGTGCAAGTGGGGTCTGCCTGCTATATTGTTTCACATTACCCAGACAATTCAAGGAAAGGGAACGACAAACAGCCAGTAAACACATGTAAACACGTTCATCCTTGCTAGTAACCAGGGAAATGCAAATTGAAATAAAAAGGAGACACCAGTTTAGATTTATCATATTGGCAAAAATTTTAGAGTATTTAGGCACCTTCATGTACAATGGAAGAGTTGAAATTGTTACCACACATCGCAGAGCAATTTAGCACATAAAATGAAGTTAATGATGCCTATTCCCTGCAGTCCAGCAATTCCATTCCCATTACGTTGAAAACCTGGCTGCACATTACATTCATTATCCCAATGCGTTATCAGCCCACCACCCTGTAAGAAACTCTCACCCATGTGCATAAGGAAACAAATTTTAAAATATTCACAGCTTCCTACCTGGTTTGGTTTAGTGGATAGAGCATCAGTCTGTGGACTGAAGGGTCCAAGATTCCATTCTGTCAAGGGCGCACATACCCAGGTTGCAGGCTCAATCTCTGGTCCCGGTCGGGGCACGTGCAGGAGGTGACCAATTGATGTCTCTCTCACTTCGATGTTTCTCTCTGTCTCTCCCCTTCCCTTCCACTCTCTCTAAAAATCAATGGAAAAATATCCTTGTGTGAGGGTTAACAAAACATATATTCAGAGCAACATTGTTTATAGCAGTAAAAAATTGGAAACGACATAAATGTCCATCAACAGGCGAATAGAAACATGAAATGCATATAATCACTCAATAGAACACTAATGAAACTGTACAAACTACAGATACCTTCAGCAACATGACTGAATCTCCCAAATAAAATTTTGAGAGCAGGCAAAAAACGCATCCAATGGAATTCTATACCACAGTTAAAATGAATGAATTAAGCCTATATATAAATCTTGCATTCATTTTCTATGGCTGCTATAAAAAAAAATTACCAAGAACGTAATGGCTTAAAACAACACCTATTTATTACCTTTACCTGACATTTCTGGAAATCAGAAATTCAGAATGGAGTGCACCGGGCTAACCTCCACGTGTCCGCAGGGCGGTGGGCTTTCTGGAGGCTGTATGGGTGGAACCGTTTACTTGTCTTTTCCAGCTTTGAGAGGCCACTGGCCTTCCTTGGCTCCTGGCATCCTTCCTGCACCATCAACGCCACCAACATCATGCCAAGCCTTTCTCACGCTGCTCTGCCTCCCCTTCTCCCCTTCTACCTCTCTCTTTAATTTAGAAGAACCCTTGTGATTGGTTACACTGGGCCTACCCACCCAGAAATGCAATGTAGCTCCCTCCTTTAAAGTAATCTCCATTCCATCTGCAACCTGAATTCCTCTCTGCCCTGAAAGGTAACATAGTCACAGGTTCCAGGGATTGGGATGAGGACATCTTGGGGTGAGTGCAGGAAGCTGGTCCATCCATGCTGCTTGACACAGTCGCTGCAGGGCAGAAACATCTGCACAGCATATGTTTCAAGGGACCTGGCATATACGGCATATGTTCTTAATAGGTTTGCTCCCCTTCTTAGCGCTATGTGTTTTAACCAAGGTCACCTCTCCAAGAAAGGTTGTTTCCCCAGGTGGGGATTTTTCCCTGGAGTTAGGGATTAACAGGACTAAGGAAGGGAATAAATCAGTAAAACCCCTTAACTAAGTGCCAGGCGGGTAGTTAAGCACTTTAACCACGAACAATCATGCTTAAGCTACATAATCTTTACTTAGGATAATCTCCTTCAGTTACTTCCTTGTAGCTTAACAGAACAATAGAGTAGTGACCTTGGAATGGAGATAAGAAACGCCCTAACCTTTGGAATAGAATGGATAGGATTCAGATCAACTGGTATAAATACAGATGTAGCAGGAGAGTAAAGACAGAACCTAGCAACAGAACTGGGCTGGAGAACTTGACTAGAGAACCTGGCTAGGCTGCTGATCAACTGAACGCAGTCTCCGTATCATTTCTTCTTGGCTGACTCCATCCACACCTTTGGGAACCCCTGGACCTGCTGGGGCTGGACCCCAACAACTGGCACTTAGATCCTGAGCAGCACGGACAGGGTTACAGGGAGGCAAGATGGCAGACGTGCTGGATCTTCATGAGGCCGGCGGCAAGGATTTCACCACGGATGAGGATGGGGACGAGAGCATCCACAAACTGAAAGAAAAGGCGAAGAAGCGGAAGGGCCGCGGCTTTGGCTCCAAGGGCTCTCGAGCGCGGATGCGGGAGGATTATGACAGCGTGGAGCCGGATGGCGAGGAGCCCAGGCCGAAGCGCTCTGTTGAAGGCTGGATTCTCTTTGTCGCCGGGGTCCATGAGGAAGCCACGGAGGAAGACATCCATGGCAAATTCGCAGAGTATGGGGAAATAAAAAACGTCCACCTCAACCTGGACGGGCGCACGGGGTGCCTGAAGGGGTATACTCTAGTTGAGTATGAAACATACAAGGAGGCCCAGGCTGCGATGGAGGGACTCAATGGCCAGGATCTGATGGGACAGCCGATCCGCGTGGACTGGTGTTTTGTTTGGGGTCCACCCAAGGGCAAGAAGAGAGGTGGCCGGCGGCGCAGCAGGAGTCCAGACTGGAGGCGACGCTGACAGGTCCTCTGCTGGCCAGGTGTTCGCTGCAGCGATTCCACGTGACCACACAGCCTTGGAGAAGTAGGGCCGGGGAGGAACTCACTGTTTATATTTTATCATTTACCCTCTTGCTTAGTGTTTTGGAACTTGGGGGGAGGGGAGGGAAGGGGGTTGAATTATAAATAAATGTCCCATTTTTGTTTTCTACATTTTTTAAAATTAAATCTTTATTGTTCAGATTATTACATTTGTTCCTCTTTTTTCCCCCCATAACTCCCCTCCTCCCAGTTCCCGCACCACCCTCCACCGTGACTCCCCACCCACTGTCCTCATCCATAGGTGCACAATTTTTGTCCAGTCTCTTCCCGCATCTCCCACACCCTTTTCCCCCCCAAGAATAGTCAGTCCATTCCCTTTCTATGTCCCTGATTCTATTATAATCACCAGTTCATTCTGTTCATCAGATTATTTATTCACTTGATTCTTAGATTCACTTGTTGATAGATGCATATTTGTTGTTCATAATTTGTAGCTTTACCTTTTTCTTCTTCTTCCTCTTCTTAAAGGATACCTTTCAGCATTTCATATAATACTGGTTTGGTGGTGATGAACTCCTTTAGCTTTTCCTTATCTATGAAGCTCTTTATCTGACCTTCAGTTCTGAATGATAGCTTTGCTGGATAAAGTAATCTTGGTTGTAGGTTCTTGGTATTCATCACTTTGAATATTTCTTGCTACTCCCTTCTGGCCTGCAAAGTTTCTGTTGAGAAATCAGCTGACAGTTGTATGTATATTCCCTTGTAGGTAACTGAGTTTCTTTCTCTTGCTGCTTTTAAGATTCTCTCTTTGTCTTTTGCTCTTGGCATTTTAATTATGATGTGTCTTGGTGTGGTCCTCTTTGGATTCCTTTTGTTTGGGGTTCTCTGCCCTTCCTGGACTTGTAAGTCTATTTCTTTCACCAGGTAGGGGAAGTTTTCTGTCATTATTTCTTCAAATAGGTTTTCAATATCTTGGTCTCTCTCATCTTCTGGCACCCCTATAATTCTGATGTTGGTATGCTTGAAACTGTCCCAGAGGCTCCTTACACTATCTTCGTATTTTCGGATTCTTTTTTCATTTTGCTTTTCCGGTTGGGTGTTTTTTGCTTCTTCGCATTTCAAATCTTTGACCTGATTCTTGCGCTCCTCTGGTCTGCTGTTGGGAGTCTGTATAGTATTCTTTATTTCAGTCAGTGTATGCTTAATTTCTAGTTGGTTCTTTATCATAACATCGAGGGTCTCATTAGAATTCTTGAGGATCTCATTAAGTTTATCGGCGGCTTCTAGACAGTTCTTGAGAGACCTTAAAAGTGTGGTTCTGAACTCTATATCTTCCATTGACAATTTTGTCCTGTTTCTTTGTCTCCGCATTTTTTTTTTATGCTTTCTTGGTGCACCCCCTAGTGGTCTTTGTGTGCAGTCTTGCTGTAGTTAAGCCTTGATTGTTGTAGTTAATACTGGGGGGAATTGACCTCCAGGCCAACTGGCTGTGAGAGTGTGTTTTCTACATTTAAAATTATTTTCTTGCTCTAACCTTGCAAGCTCTGAAGTGCTCTTCACCGTAGGCAGTGTGGGGCACTGGGAAGGTACTTCTCCCAGTAACTGAATTCAGTGAGTTTCTACATGAGACATAGTCTGAGTCCCAAAGAGTCAAAGTAGAAACACTGCTCAAGGTATTTCTTTTTTCTTGGAAGCTAAGAGAGCAGGGGTAGATGTGAGATGTTTTCAGGATATTAACGAATAATTATTCTGTTCCTGTATACTCTGTCCTGAGCAAATGGATGTTACAGGAATGTTTTCTTTTTGTTTCTCCTGCCTGTGCTGCCACATCTGTTTGTACCTCCAGCTGTTGAAGGGCTTAAATCTCCTATGGGGCATTCTCCCAGATTCTCTTTCCCTAAAGGAGTCTATACAAAGGTCTTGGTGCCCACTTTGGCAGCCAAGGGTAAAGGCCCCTTGGAGATGATACAGAGGAGCACTGATGAGGCCAAAGAGAAGAAGAGGAGGCTGGGATGAGCTCCAGTTAGCATTATGGGAGAGAACCAGCAAGTAGTGAGGTGTTCGGCAGAGGACAGAGGTCAGCAGAGTCAGCAGGGCTGGTTGCAGGTGCACAGACACGGGGTGATTGTCTAAGGAGCGGCGGAGGGCCAATTCGCTGGTAGGTTTGGGATTTAGAAAATACACTGCCATTCAGAACCACTCAGCTCCGACCTGAGTACAGGGTGACTTGATGGGTGGGCGGTGAGATGGTGCTCTCCCCTACAAGGAAGAGAATGCTCTTCTCCTTCGAAACTTGGGACTGTGTTCTCCTTTCCCCCATGCTGGAGAAAAGTTTTGATGTTTTTTTTTTTTTCCTATTTTTATTAATTTCAGAGAGAAAGGGAGTGGGAGATCGAGAGAAACGTCATTGATCGGCTGCCTCCGACACACCCCCTACTGGGGATAGAGGCTGCAACCCAGGCATGTGCCCTGACCGGGAATCAAACTGTGACTGGTTCATAGGTCGACACGCAACCACTGAGCCACGCCGGTGGGCAAGGTTTGCTTGAGGTGCTGTGCTGTATGAAGCTACTAAGTCTACTTTAAGACATCATGGTGTCCCAAGAGTAAAGGAGAATACTGATCACATCTCTCCTTAATCCTTGTCCACCAAACTCAAGTTCAGATGATGGCTAGAGGTTGGTTAGAATTGGAGGCATTCAAGAAAATTATTAAATAAATAAATAAATAAATAATAAAAAAAGAAAATTATATGCAGCATTAGTGTGGGGAGCCGATATAGGGTTAAGCCTCGGACTGACCTGTTGGCAAAGTCACAAACAGGTCTTCTGAGTCTTAAACAACCCTCCGAGAGGTGGCCGCTGATTTACACTATCATTTAAAAAATAAAAAAGGGGGAATTTGCCAGAAGCCGGTCCATCCTTGCTGCTTGACACAGTCGCTGCAGGGAAGAAACATCTGCAGAGCATATGTTTCAAGGGACCTGGCATATATGGCATGCTGTTCTTAATATGTTTGCTCCCCTTTGCACTATGTGTTTTAACCAAGGTCACCTCTCCGAGAGAAATGTTGTTTCTTCAGGTGGGGATTTTTATCAGTAAAACCCCTTAACCTAAGTGCCAGGTGGGTAGTTAATCACTTTAACTATGAACAGTCACGCTTAAGCTACATAATCTTTACTCCCTAGAATGGAGATAAGAAACGCCCTAACCTTAGGAATAGAAATTGATAGGATTAAAATCAACTGGTATAAATACAGATGTAACAAGACAATTATCTCAGAACCTGGCTGGAGAACCCAGACAGAACTTGGCTGGAGATCCTGGGTAGAGATCCTGGCCAGCCTGCTGATCAACTGAACGTTGTCTCCCTGTCATTCCTTCTTCGCCGACTCTGTCCACACCTTTGGGAACCCCTGGAACTGCTGGGGCTGGGCCCCAACAATTTGCCACAATGTATGACGCAGACAAGGATATGCAATATGATGAGCATGATGATGAAATCACCCCAGAGTTGTGGCAAGAAGCATGCTGGATTGTAATCAGTTCCTATTTTGATGAGAAAGGCTTCATCAGACAACAGCTGGATTCTTTTGATGTTTTTGTTCAGATGTCTGTTCAAAGAATTGTGGAAGATGCTCCACCTATAGACCTACAAGCTGAAGCTCAGCATGCTAGTGGAGAAGTTGAAGAACCGCCAAGATATTTGCTGAAGTTTGAACAAATTTATCTCTCCAAGCCTACTTACTGGGAAAGAGATGGTACTCCTTCACCACTGATGCCAAATGAGGCCAGGTTACGAAATCTCACGTATTCTGCTCCACTTTATGTTGATATAACAAAAACAGTCACTAAAAAAGGTCAAGAACAACTTCAGACTCAGTATCAGAAAACTTGTATAGGAAAAATTCCAATTATGTTGCGTTCAACTTATTGCCTATTGAATGGCTTAACAGATCGTGATCTTTGTGAGTTAAACGAGTGCCCCTTGGATCCTGGTGGCTATTTCATTATTAATGGATCAGAAAAGGTTCTAATTGCGCAAGAAAAAATGGCAACAAACACAGTCTATGTGTTTGCCAAAAAGGATTCTAAATATGCCTACACAGGAGAGTGTAGATCATGTCTGGAGAATTCTTCCCGACCCACCAGTACTATTTGGGTTAGCATGCTGGCAAGAGGAGGACAGGGTGCAAAAAAGAGTGCTATCGGCCAGCGCATTGTGGCAACTCTACCATTTATCAAGCAAGAAGTTCCCATTATTATTGTGTTCAGAGCATTAGGTTTCGTGTCTGACAGGGATATTTTAGAGCATATTATTTATGATTTTGAAGATCCAGAGATGTTGGATATGGTCAAACCTTCTCTCGATGAAGCTTTTGTCATCCAAGAACAGAATGTTGCACTAAATTTCATTGGCTCGAGAGGGGCAAAGCCTGGTGTCACCAAAGAGAAAAGAATTAAGTATGCAAAAGAAGTCTTACAGAAAGAAATGCTTCCTCACGTTAGTGTCAGCGATTTTTGTGAGACAAAAAAAGCTTATTTCTTAAGGTATATGGTGCATAGGTTACTTCTAGCAGTTCTGGGTAGAAGAGAATTAGATGACAGAGATCACTATGGAAACAAAGGATTGGATCTTGCTGGACAACTACCTGCATTCTTATTTAGAGGCATGTTTAAGAATTTGCTTAAAGAAGTACAGATCTATGCACAGAAGTTTATTGATCGGGAAAAGGATTTTAACTTGGAGTTGGCAATTAAAACAAGGATTATATCTGATGGCCTAAAATACTCTTTAGCTACTGGAAACTGGGGTGACCAAAGGAAAGCTCATCAAGCCAGAGCTGGAGTATCCCAAGTGTTAAACCGCCTGACGTTTGCATCTACTCTCTCTCACCTGCGTCGTTTAAATTCTCCAATCGGTAGAGACGGCAAGCTGGCAAAACCGAGACAGTTGCATAACATGTCATGGGGAATGGTGTGTCCTGCTGAGACTCCA